ACAGCCCAGGTACTGACAATACGCAGGTTTTGTTCCAAACATCTTTTGATAGGATCCTTTGACAGTTTCCAGGCTCAATTACCACAGGCTCAAGTGACAGTTTTAGAGGACCTACATTAGCCACAAGGTCTCGTGAGGCTTGACACTGACCTTCTTCTTGGCATGCCAGAACCTGGACTCCATCTTCACTATTCTGAATTATTCAGACTAATTAAACAAACCAAACCCACGGAAGCAGAACGGATGACCAGCATTCCAAATGAAGGGCGTGAGTTACTTGATGACACTACCCTCTTTTACTTTATTTCCTTAAGTTACAGTCAGATACACGTTTCTTTTCAAACAGCAATAACGAGAAGCACTCTCCATTCACTTTTGGAGGAGGGCTTTTGGTTGTTTTAAGTGCAGTGCACCAAACTTACAGCATCACTTTGAGGCTGCGAGATCACAACAGGCTGTCCTGAATCACACGTCTCCCGTATATTAACATGCAGTGGAATGTCTCCTGTATAAAAAATATCAAGAAACACACACACACATGAAGACCTAATATTTCTTAAGTGTTTCATTAAAATAGCCCTAAACCAACTTGAAATCAAATTCCAGTTCAGTATATTCTTTTAATTACTTAATCTCAAAAAATTAGCATTTAAAATGAAAACTGGCTGCAGTACAGTTTCAGTACATCCATAATGATTAATGCCAAACATATTCTGGATTTTTCATTCTCTGAATAGGAAGGACTATGCTTTGTAGTCATTCATTAGAGAAGGCAGTTTGCTTTTTTGCCTCAAATACACAGAAAAACAGGCTGAGATACAAATTATTTTATGTACATAAAAAAAACGCCTGCTGGAGTGTTAGGCAAATGCTCATCATGGAACTTACTGTTGAGCCTATTTCCTCATTGTATATTCTTTTCAGTGCTGTTTTAAGATTTTAATCATTGTTCAAAGACTTCTTTGCATACTTAATTTCCAAATAATAGCATTTGTTATTGTCCTTATTAGGCCTTGGATCCAATTAAAAGGTAGACAACTATTCAGTTCATTCTTCTTTCCAATAGAAATCTTCTTTATATTCTGCTTTTATAACGAGCAGGGAACTGCCAGAGAGAAAAGGAACGCTCTAAAGGAGAATCAATTAGCAGCCCTATTCCACTGAAATTCAGTTTTTCAGCACTAAAGAAAACTTGAAGTTCCCATGTTTAGTTCATTGCTACACAGACAATTATGAAGTGAATTGAAGACCAACTTTCTTTTAATGGAAGATACAGCTACATTTTACACTGTGGATAGATGTAGACAGAACAGCCTACCTTACTTCAAACTTCACTGGCCTCAGAAACTGTTACCAGTTTGATTCATACACTTTAGGAAACATTTATTTAACCCAAACCAAGGCCAGTGTAAATTACTGAAGTTCAATGTAGTCAGAAAAAGAAACATTAAAAAAAATGTATGAAAACTGACACAGCTTAAAAGATAAAAAAATGGAATTGAAAGCAACTAGGAATACAAACAAACAAACAAAAAACAAATAGCAAACAAAAGCTGTGGCTCCATGATTAGTGAGCAGAATCTTTGAAGAACTTCAATTTGTTATTTGTGATGATTACAGTCCACTTCCTTCAAATTAATTGTTTTTTATTTGTTTCAGTCACAAATAAATTTCTTTAGGCATAAATGTCTGTTCATTTATTCATTAAAAAAATATTTAGGGGGTCCTTTGAAAGTTTTTTTAATCTTAAACGTTCTTAATAGTATAACAGTAACTTTGTAAATCTCCCAGAAGTTAGTTCCTACCATTATTTTAGGCAGAGACTAATCTTCACTTTTTTCCCAAGGATGTTTTGTTAGTGAAAAAGTACTTCTTTGCTATCAGCTTAATAACAATCTCAAAGAATTACAAAAAGAACTGCCCTACTACAAAATGTCAGCCTCTCTCTTTTGTTCCTCATACTTACAAAGATATGCTGGTACTACAGGAACATAACAGGACTTGTATGAGCAAAAATGTAAGTCAGAAGACAAAGCAAAATGCAATCTTAATTAAAAAAAAAACAACAAACCAAACAAACCAAAACCATATAAATTAAGCAGAAGCAGAAAGACAGGAAAAGCATCTGCACAGCTGTTTGGGTGATAAGGGGTTGAGGAAGACAAAGTTTTCGCATTATTCTTCACTACAGAATGTGATAGGAACTTGCCATCGTACGTTCTTCTGATACTAACAATTATTGCTGACTACAAAGAAAGCGTAAGTGCTGAGAATAATTTGAATTTACTGTAGGAAGTAAAAAAGTTAGGAAGTGCAAAGGTCAGAGTGGCATGTACAGAAATAATCTTAGTATTATGTATATCAATGGTATAGCTTTCTGGTCAACAAGCTGCGATCAAAAGAAAGCAAAATAGGGGAACTTCAGAAAGAGGAGAGAAATAATCAGCAGCACAAAGTCTTTCTCACAAAATTTGACACACTTTCCTTTAGGAAATGATAAAAAGGTGAGACAATCAAAAGTATATGAAATAACGAACTACACTCAAAGGTGTACTGGCAACTGCTAATTGTCTTCTGTCATAAACAAAATTAAAGGAGGCATTCAGTAATATTAAAGGCAGCCAATTCCGTGCAACTAAAAGGAAAATACTTTTCTGTCCCGCATATTGTTCGCTTGTAGATTTTGTCAGATGTTATCATGGACACTAAAATCTTCTCAGGTTTCACAAGAGGACTGGGTGCTTAGTTGAACAAACAGAACAGCCACTGGTTTTGCAAAATATAAGCAAAACAAATTTAGAAATATTAATTTTAAATATGTACATTACATATATATTTATAAAAAATAAGTTCTCAAGGCTTTTGGGTAGAATTCAAATAACATTGGGATAAAACTTCTATTTGGGATAGATTAACGTAAGATCTGTAAACAATAATTCTTGTAATACCATATGGTATTATTATATAATGGTCATCCCTGGAAGGAGGAGTATACTAATCAGATCAAGTACTGTAATTCTAAATTTAACCCATGGGGCATTATTCTTAATCTCAGTGTGGTCTTTCATGGACAGTTTGAAAGTAAACTTCACTCT